TAGTTCGTATACTTATATACCTACGCTAATACATTACACTTGGCATTGGCATAGAATCACCCGCTTACCACTTGTTTGGTATGACCTTCGAGTGTCACCACGATTTGCTGTGTCTGCACGTTCCAGCCGTAGATCTTGTAGTCTTGTGAGGTCTGATTGTGGGTGGGTTGAAGGCATGAGCAGAAATTTAACAAGCGGCCAATGAAAACGCGAATGTGAGTTAAAATCAAGTGCGTGCGCCTGTACAGATACGACCACAAGTAAGTCAGTACACTTGCCAGACATTGGACAACCCCTCTGTAAACAATCGCAGACACCACAGATAGACTTGTCATATCGCCACTTTGGCTTAACCGTCTGTCTATGCCGATCATGGATCGCTTTCCTGCACAGAAATGGGTGTCAACTACTTCGCAAAACTGTCTCAAACTTTGTGCAGATACGGACATTGTATATGCATTCTATGTACGTACGGGCACAAGTGTATGTAACCTTGAGCATGCGTGCCGGTAAATACACTTTAACCCGCGTGTGTGTGTAATGTTGCACTATATATGCATTATATGTACGTACTGGTACAAGTGTGTGTAACCTTGAGCATAGGTGCCGGTATATACACCTTAGCTCGAGCGTGTGTGCACCCAACTGTGCATTTGGCTTCGCACAATAACGACAGACTCTGCAGGCAGATGGGCCTACCTACACAGGGATGGGGGCATAAGGAAACCATACACGAGGCTATATACCTACCCAGCCCACTAGTACACTCCCTTGATTCGTAGACCACTGTAGGTAGAATATCAGTGCCCGACAAGCCACACATACACAGTTAGTGCTCACCTGATATATAAACCGTGATGAAGGATCCCAGCTGTGTCTGGGCTGACTGTACTCGTCGTTGCTGGAGCCGTAGAAACTGGTGATCTATTTATAGAATGAGCGTGTAGGTAGATTGTTAGATTGTTCGTTGTTACCAGCGGGAGTGATACGATGCAGAAAATGGGAAATCTGACCACGAACATACCATACTAATACTCACACCCAGATAAGCCACAGACACAAACTAAACTCCAGTCTACCCAAGAACCTACCAGAGCCATCTGATCTCGTTGGTACAAGTTCAGGCGGTTCTTATCGGTAGACACCAACAGCAGCTTCCCATTGGGGCTGTAGGACACATCCATGGGCGTGAAACTAACCCAATCGTCCCTGAGACTGTTCATATTGAGTGCCAGCTGCCCGAAGTTCGGTACACCTTTGTCCGTTCCGGTGGGCGAGAAGTCTATGAAGTGCATGCAGTGATCGTTTCGTACGCCCACACACAGCTCAGAGCCGTCTGGACTGAAGCACATACTCTCCACCGGTCCCTTGAAGCTCAGCGTGTGCACGTGCGCGTACATATCCCTTTCCACATCCCATCTGTGCACGCTAACCGTCTGGTCGTAGCTGCCGCCCAGCACCACATACGCCCCTACTCCAGGTGAGAATAGGCCCACAGTCACAAACTTGGTGTGCTGTGGGAAGACCTGCACTACCTCGCCCGTATGTGTGTTGTACAGAGACGCGGTCTTGTCCATGCTACACAAGAGCACATACGGGTGAGTGGCCATCTGCGGGTGCGTGCGCACACTCACCACACACCCCTTGTGGTGGTCTAGCGTGTCTGTGCGCGAGTACGCGATGTGGTCTGGCTCCATGGTTTGTATCTCAAAGAGTGCGACGGTCTTGTCCACTCCGGCGGTGCACAGTAGCTGCTTCGTAAGAGTTGGGTCGTGCGCGTCTGTGTGTGTGTGTGTGTTGAGGGTATGTGTTGGCTGAGGCTCAGTGTGGTATTCGCACGGGTAGAGCTCATGCGTCTTCAGATACGGACTCGCAGGGGTAGACAGGCACACATTTATATACACACAGCAATCGGAGCGGTAGGTATGGGTTCACTACCACGGGAGACTAATCACCATCGGCTGATGATAAGTGCAATATATATATATATATATATATTAAGGACGTCTATTAGACATGCATCCACAATCCTGCTAATGTGTGTTTGTGCCACGACACCAGAGCGTTTAAGTGGTGATAGTACTACACAAACACACGACAAAACAATTCCAAATAGGCACCACACACCCACACACATATCCACCCCAGAGCAATCATAAGCGATCATAGGCCGTTCTACCTACCGTTAACATCTACGAGACGCGCATCCACTATGTTGCCAATGTGTGTGTTGTCCACAACCCCAAACGGTCCCTGGACAGGACAGTCCTCAGCCGTAACCGCTGGTAGGACCTCAGTCAGATCCACTCGCCTTGCACCTGCGCGCTCGGACTCTTGGTGTTTATCGGCCCTAAAATGAAACAAGAGGTGCAGTGCAGAGATAGATTTGTAGAGCAGTTCGGTACGTCAGGTTTATCAGTTAGAGTTTAACGTATGGCTATGAGTTCGTAGGCTTTGGCTTATCTGGCACGCGTGCGTGAAAGGTATGTATTACAAGCCAGTCTACATGACTCCAGGCGTCGCAGTAGTGTGCTTGAAACACCAACAGACTCACCTAGAGGGTAGGTGGGGTATACTGTTATAATCCGTAATCCATAGATATATACAATGGCTGTGGCAGAAACAAGGTTACAGACAGCACAACACGTCAGTGGGAGGTTCAGAGAGTTTGGATGGGTTGCATTGTACATAAATTGGAACTCGCTGTACTGAAAATGTATCGTGTCTTATATATACATATATATATATATATATATATATTCTATTTATATATACATA